TAATCATATTTCATTCTTTTCGCTGGTTCTAGTAAACAGAAAAAGCATTGGTCAAAGCTCTGGTATTTTCGAAGAATAATCTTTACTTAGAGAATTAATCATTTCAAGTACACACGTCACCTTGAGAAAAACTCATAGCAAGTTCATTTCTACATGAAGCTCCGAGTCAAATCAATAAGCAGCATACAGACAAGTCCTTAATCTTTTTGTAAGCTGTGAAATTCAGGTTCACAGTCGAGTAAATAAGGTAATTGATTTGTTAATTTGTTTCTAGGGACCTGTCCAATAATAAGTTGCTGAACTTGTCAGTAGGGGCCTTTAGTGACAACACGAAGCTGGAACATCTGTAAGGACGACGTTTCTTTAGCATATGAACGTTTAGTGATAATTTTTTTTTTACCTCGTACCGATGTAGAGAACCCGAATTTGAACTTTCACATCAGACTGAGTTGGAATCCAAACTTCCTGTCGAGAAAATATTGAAAAATGATGTTTCTTAAAAAGGGCAACCTCCCTTATGCAGCTCAGTCAAATCACTTTAAATATTCAATTGGAGTCTCCGGTAACAGACTTATCTTGGAAGACCTCACTGTAACATTGCAACAAGATATAACGACCCTTTTCGAATGGTAATCAATAACCTCGTCCTACCCCAACCACGCCGTTTTTGTCTTCCAATCTCTTGATCACGTAAATACCAAAGGATCCTATACCAAGGAAAAATTTGTCATGATTGCACAGAAAGATTAGCGCCTGAAGCAGATCCTTAACCAGAGCGTTTTAAACCAACAGATTGAAATGTCTCAGAGGATAACAAACAGTAAGAACTATAAGAAATCAGAGAAGCAACGCCAAAGGAGACTTTAAAAATAAATTTACTCATATTCGACTTTAATACTGGTCAGCTTGCGTTAAAAGGAATCTAACAAAGGGTAATCTGAGAATTTCTCCTCAATTTATTTAAATTGCAGCGTTTAAATTTTCGTGAGGCAATGAATTTGATTAGAGTATTTGCCCTCTTTAAGATTTGTACCCAACTCTAAAACGACATTCAGCTTTGCATTTGTTTATAGTATTTTGAAAAGTATCGTGTGCTTTCAAGATTTTCGAAAACTTACATAACATAGGCAACAGAGTTCACGCTTCGTTGTGATGACCTATTGGTTTCAGGGACTTGTCCAACAACCAGTTACAATATTTACCACCAGGAGCGTTTGCTGACATTGAGGTTTCCCCCTGGGAAGATTTGACGCTGTAAGTAAAAAAAGTAAAAGAAAAAACGTGAGATCAATTAATTGACCAGAGGAC